TTTATTATTATTTTATTATTAAAGTTTATTTTGAAAAATTTTGAATTTTATAATACTTCAAGATCCAGTCATAAGAAGAATCTTAAAGTAGTATAAATGATTCTTAATACTTCTAAACACAACAACCATGTATAAAAATAATAAAAATTATAATAAAAATTAATAAGAATATTTCATTTTTATAATTCTTTTTCTTTTTTAAAAACCTCATTGTTCAAGTATTTAACTTAAAAACAGAAAAAATATTAAAATAATTCAATTTGATGATACAAACTTCTTATTTTCATAAAATGATAAGATATGCACTTTCTAATAATCTTCTTCAATCATCATTTTGTCAATCATTTGAAAAAGACCAAAAAATATTAGATTTCTTTTCATATGGAGTTGTTAAACATTTACTTTCTCTTAAAATAGTTCAATCATTTCCAGTTTGTGATCCAAGTTTCTTTACTTCATTTAGAGATGCTTGTATGTCTTGTAGAGAAACTATTTTCGATGAATTACTTTCATCTTATATTCCTTCTAATGAAACAAAATCAAAAAGAGTTTGTATGATTATTGCAGAATGTGAACTTCAAAAAAAGAATTGTAAGAATGAATGTAATAAAAATATCTTATTTGGTATTCAAACATTCTTGGTAAATTGTTTATTTACTGCTGGTTGTAATAAAGAATTTAATGCTTCTTTCTCTCTTTCTTCTCCTGATAGAACTACTCAAAGAATTAATCAAATTCCAATTTATAATTATAATCTTCCATTACTCTTTGCTTAATTCAATACAATTATAATAATATAAATATTATTAATAAAATAACATTGTTATTATTATTCTTTGTTTAATATACTTCTTTTTATTTGTTAGAAATATATTTTGTGTTTTTCTCTTTTAATTGGAAAAAAAAATAATAAAAATAATAAAAATAATATTCAAATTATTCAAAAAACAAAATAAAAAAATAAAAAAATGTTTTTAGGGTTTTTTTTTTAAAAAAAACAAAACGAAAAATATATAAAATACCTTTAATGGAAACACAAAACAACATCACTTCACCATCAAAACAAAAAGAACAAATGAAATCACAAAATTCTAAAGAATTACAAAAAAATACATTAATTAAATCAGGGAATTGTACAGCGTTTATAAGAGGACTTCCACTTAAATGGGGAGATATAGAATTTTCAAAATATTTTAAAAAATATCATCCAATAATTGGTCAAGTAGTAAAAAGAAAAAGAGGAAATTCAAGAGGATTTGGATTTATGGAATTTCCAGATACAGAAACAAGAGATTTAGCAATTAAAGAAATGAATGGACAAGAAGTTGAAGGAAAAATACTTCAAGTTGAAGTAGAATCTGAAGAAACAAAAAAAGAATTAAAAAAGAAAAAAGAAGAAGAAATGAAATTAAAGAAAGAAAAAGATGTAGAAAAAGCTAAAAGAGCAAAAGAATATATTGAAATTCGTCATTTATCAAAATGTGCTAAATTAGAAGTTGCACAAAAACAAAAAAAATGTATTTTTGTTAAAGGATTTCCTAATACTTGGAAGATTAAAGATTTAAAAGAAAGGTTTGATGACTTTGGTGCTATTAAAGCAACTATTTTAATGGAAAAAAAAGGAATTTCAAAAGGATGTGGATTCGTTGATTTTGAAAATGAAGAAAATGCTAAAAAAGCTGTTGAAGAAATGAATGGAAGAGGTGTTGAAGGTGGAGAATTAGAAGTTAGTATGGCAAAAATATCTGAAAGAGGACAAAAAGCAATGACAAAAAAAGTTAAAAAACAATTAGAAAAAGAAGAAAAAGAAAAATTAAAAGCATTAAAAAAATGTATTATTTGTGGTGAAATAGGTCATACTAGTAAAGATTGTCCTCAAAACGAAAATAAAGGAAGTGATTGTTGTTTTATTTGTGGGGAGACTGGTCATATTAGTAAAGATTGTCCAAATGCAGAACGAAAATGTTTTGTTTGTGGAAAAACAGGACATAAAAGTCGTGATTGTCCAAAAGCAAAAGGCAATAATCGTCCTTGTTTTATTTGTGGTGAAATTGGTCATTTAGATCGAGATTGTCCAAACAAAAATGAAAAAAAAGAAAAGAAAGGAGGAATAAAAAGAAAAACTAAAGAACAAAAACAAGACCCAAAACACATCAAATTTGAAGATATTAATGATGAAGAAGAATCTGAAGAATAAAAAACAAAATGAAAAGAAAGTCGATTGATTAATTTATTATTTCATTGTTTTGATTTAAGAAGATAATTAAACTCAAAAGAAAAGAAAACAGTTTAAGAAGTTAAAATAATAAATTAAATAATAAATTAGATAATTAAATATTAATAGAACTAACTTCTATTCTTTCTTATTCATCTGAGATTAATCTCATTCATGACTCATTTTACTAGCTCTACGGAGTATATTTGGTTGTGATAG